ACAGAGGACTATTTTAACCCTTCTTCCCTGCCTCGTATAATCCTACCCTGTGGTGGCTCTCTCTCGCCGGTTGGTATAATCGCACCACACCGGTATTCCCGCGGGAGCCGTTGCTCTCGACACGATTCCTCCAAAGGATGAAACGACGAAAAGTTTAATGAGCCCGCCTACCACGTGTCCTCGGTCGGTAAAATTGCCTTTTCCTTCTCTTAAAGACCTTGATTTCCGACATTCCTATAATCGAGTTACGGATAACGCGCGTAATTCTCCTTTCCTTCGCGACTCCACCACAACCATCGATGCTTCCAGACGATTGCATTGCCGGATCGAAGAAACCAAACAGGTCATCGCAGTCGTCAACGATTCCGGACGAATATACGCGAAGAAAGTGTACAGTGTAATTTTAATACGCGTAATATGGAGAATTTGGACGACTCCAATCGAATCGACGAGAAGGGAAATTGTCGCCTCTTGCTTTGGTGCTTAGAATGGCGAGAGTAAAAATTATATTTCATCTAATTTCTGAAACCGATAATCAGAAAATGTAAGGAGACAACGTTTCGTTAGTTTTACGAAGAACCTGTTTGCAATTTGTATCTCCACCTCGCTCTCTTTATCCTCGATTTCATCCTAATGAATTTAATCAACGCCATTTTTAGAAAGGATAATAAAAACACTGGTGAAATCCTACGTAGAGTAATGAAACTATGTTACAAAAGAATACATGCTTGCAAAAATGTATAAATTATTACATAAGTACATATCATCGAAATTGAATGTTAAATCGTTTAAAAATTAATAATTTATCGATCATTGCGGCAGAAATGGAGAATTTTTCGACCTACGTTAGGCTGGGTATATAAAAATCGAGACGAGAGTTGATCTAGCTCATTTGCAAACTCGACTATGCGCCGAACACATTCAAATTTGTATTTTCCATTTACTAATTTTTATTTCGAGTTAAGCAATCGTGACTTTGATAGGAAATATACCAGTAACGTGCACGTATGTAAAATAGCCACCACCAACGATAATTAATTAGACACCGAAGAATTAGAACAGTTCTCCAAGAATTTCTTTTCCGAAAACCAATGGCACGCTAAGAGCTACGTGTCGCATTCAAATTACCCACGTTCCATTTTAAAACGTAGATTATTTCACGAATTTTGACTCGAATGCAGACATAAACGTACGCGTAACTCGGCGTTTACGCGCCGCTACAGATGCAATCGTGAGTACGTGCATGGCACGAATGCAGAAATTATGTACATTGCAATAAATATCTAGATTCGCTCTTTAATTTTTACCTGCTTTATTCCACGGTCCCTTCACTCCTAAATCGTGCTCGAAACCTGCACGACACGAAAACCTACTGCTCGTTAAATCGGTGTTAAACCGTATGCACGATAAATATCCCACAGAAAACAGACGTATCGATTGTACGCGGCTCGGCAAGCTTCACGAGCGTTTTACAGCATTTCGAAACATAAACGCGACTGGGCACTAATGGACCAGCTTAAATATGTAAGAGAAACCTGCCCACCGGGTAGCGGGTAACAATAAACTAACACTTAAGACGTACTTCAAGGCACAATGCGAAGTCACACTCTTCGCGCTAACGATCTCACCTCCGAGCTTCAAGCTTTAAGCTTCTTGTACCACCGTCTCTCCGGAGACCGTCCTAGCTGGGTGCGGGATAGAAGAAAGGCGAAAGAGCAGCGAAATTTCGGCAAATATTTCAGTACACCGTTAAATATTTCAAAAGTCATTAAGAAGGAACGAAACGATAAGATGCACGGCAGAGAAATGTAATCAACATTTTTTTCCGCTATACAAAAGTACCTATTTCGTCACGCGAACGATTCTCCGATCGTTTAACCCCTTTGCCTACAATATCGTGCGAGACTCGTGGTAAGGAGATCGGACCAAACATAAATATCACGGGCGGGAGACGTGGTTCGTAGATAGGACTCAATGTAAACAACACGGTCGTGTAATCTGCTCGTTGTGAATTTTCGCTGATGTCTTTCTATCTCGGTGACCTGTTATTCTCGAAATGGCTCGACTTTTGACCGACTTTCTTGTCGATTATGGCACCGAAATTCGCTGCGAAGATTTAAATATGCAAAAAAGGCATACGTAATCGAGTAGACGGAAATCGAATGTTTGGTACGCGGTAATTGCACGTAATAGTTTTTCCACTTCCATTTCGCGAAGACGGAGAGCCAAAAACGCGGTAATTAGCAGTGTACACGGAGTACAAGAGTTTGCAACGGTGCCAAACCGATAGAATTAATAAATGTTTCGAGTTGCATGGAAATGCGGTTGATGAAAAGGAACGATACGTACGACTCCGTTACCCGGTATGACATAAAAGCTAACAATGATGGAAATATTAGTGTTTAAAGCCGCGCAGGGTGTCGTTAACGTTCCTCGCCTTTCCCGTTCGCGAACTAAAAGTTGCTGTCCCCTCGTTGCTCGTCGTTTTTCTTAACGCCCCGCGTTTATACGGCTTCGTGAGCTATAATTCCCGTTTCCTTCGTATAGTGCTTGATACGGCGGAAGAAAAACGTGTTCCCATTCGCCTTGTTCGCAGCGAGTTATGCGACTCCGCGTTATAATGCATATTAAAGTAATCTTTGAAACTATCGTTCGATATTACACGAACCGGCGTTACTCCGCGATTCGAATTAAATTTGAAAATGAAGAGAGAAGGAATGACTCGACGATGACAAATTGCTTGAATTTTTAACAGCGCGAGTGTTTAAGTAGAATTTTTGCTCGCATTCGTTGAATGAAATCGCGATCGAGTTTCCGTCCGTGCATCCTTAAATTTCGCCGTCGTGCCTTTCGATCGCGACGGCCGATAACGGTGGTCATTATAAATTTAAGCGCTTTTAACAAAAGCCACGTTAGCTCACAGCCGTTTCGCACGCAAGCGGCACTTTGCATGCCGCATTCCGGACGACTTGCCACCCTTGTTTGAACTGGCGAACTGGTGTTGCGCTCAAAGTCCGAATGCATAATTAATCGGGTTATCAATTAAAGGAGCGCCGCCTATTCGTGGCCGCTTCGTACGCTCGAATCGATGTTATATGTCGATATTTGATCGGGATGCCGAAAACGGAAACGGGTGCGTGTATTTTCGAGTTGAAAGAATCACGGTATTTCCTATTAAAGTCGCATACTCCTATTTCTAATTTTCACTTCACGATCGATCTGTATTACCATATGCGGATACCGAAAGGCACTCGCCGCCAGTGGCGCTGCTGCAACGTATAGAATGAGTACGCATAGAATATGTATATATATATATATATATTTATACACACTGCGTGTTAGCCGAGGGAGCTAACCAAGACATCGTTTGCATCGAATTTAACTAATTTCAATTTCTAATCTCCGATAATCTTTATGCTTCGATCATTTTACGTCTTTGAATCGATTGTATTCTCTGTAAAAATACAGACGATCGACAGACGGTCGATCAACTGAATTCTCGTCGGTGGAATGGCACGGAAGCCTGTAAACTCTGTTTGATACCGGCGAATTCAATCATTCTCTCTGTTCTACGACACGACAAGGACTAACACAGCCTGTGTAAATATGGGGAGCCACGTGCACTTTACTCGATATTTAATGCGAATGCCAAATCCTTCCGGTGCATTTTCGATTAGCAAGCAGAGAAATGAATTACACGAAAAGACATGGTTCTTCTGTCGAGTGTTCGTAAATTTTTAAATGATCGATAATATTCCGATAAAGGCCGCGATGTAAGGAATACGTGGAAATATCACACACGCAAGATCAGAAAAAGGAAACAATTCGATCGAAATAATACGTAAAATGTGTTTAAACTCACCATATGTAACCATCTTGTCGAAAGATTCTCAAGTGAAAAGTATGGGGACCGTCCTAATTGCGTTTCGAATTCATCATATGTAGCCATCTTGTCGAGAGATTCTCAAGTGAAAAGTACAGAAAGCGTCGCACCGGATAATAATCACTTTTGAGGTACACTTGATACTAACTACTTTACTACCAATCATTACCACCGATTACGTCACTACAAAAATACATTGAGATGTATCAAATTATCAATATCGCACAGTTACTTTAATTTTACAATTATTTTACATTAACATGTCGGCACATGTCACGCACATTTGGAATCACTGATTTAAACTAGAATTTTTATCTGGCGTTAGTGGCGCGCCCTCTGAACCAGGAGCGAAATTAACCGAGCCTTGCCAATGATAAACTAGCTTATCATTGGTTGACACAGTCAAAAATAAGAGATCACTAATTTTATTAATATTGTTGCCATTCTGATCTTGCATACTTTGTCTATGTTAAAATATGTTTCAATCGTTTGACGCCGCGAAATTAGTACGTTATAAATAGATTAATTTTCTAATTTTGAATTTTTTATCATTTGTAATCGTTATCGATATTTTAGATATTTATAAGAGCATCTAATATCTTAAACTTGTGATAACGAGAAAATAGGATATGAAGTGTAGTTTTTAAAGTGGAACACTCGAGTGCTTAATATATGCAATGAAAAAGATAAATGTGGCGAAAAAATTTCCATTCGCTTCGTCGCTGCTTTACTCCACCTTATCAATAAAAGGTAAATCAACAAATGATAAATACTGTGTACTATCCATAATAGCACTCTATCGTAGTTATCGTTGAAGTAGAAACGTAATTTATACGTTTCACATCTTTCGATAGAGTAATACACGGATACCAATGTATAATGCGTATTTAAATTAGCGCGTAGTACTCTAAATTGTTTCTCATCAACTGACTATCGATCAAACGATATACATAGCTGTGCTAGCATTAAAATTATTTGCATATTTGATTAGCGGTTTAGGCAGAAAACAAGATATTCTGTTAAATCTTTATTATATTCTACATAATGAAGACAACAGTTTTATAAAATGCGTAGAAGATATATGTATACATTTAGAATATTTAGTATACGAAAGAAATAACATTTAATACTTTTATTCAATATAATGGCTGCTTATATAATACTAGTAGTTGATCTTTTCATGGATATTACTTTCATAATATTAATTGATAATGATAATGCAATCGGCCTAGGTAGATAAGAACGTCTAAGATCTTGCAGCATCCATTTTCAGGTTAGTATCCAGCTTGGTGTTTAGCATTTGCAAGACTTGCAACCACATTGTCCGCCAGATTTGCAGTTGCAATTATCTGTAACAAAAAATACAAATATATGATTAAGAAATATTTAATGATAGTTTATATGTAATAAACGTGACTCGTGGCAAAATATAGAAAAAGTAATGAATGACTTAAACAATAGCTATAATATTGCAAGTAAAAATTCTTAAATGATTTATAAAAATAATAGAAATCGTTCATTCCATAGATCCTAATCTTATCCGAATAGTACAATGAACTATCACAACGGTCACCGTTAAACGGTCGTTGCCCGAGTTTACAAAAAAAAAGGGTACCGTCAGAAGGGAAAATCGTTACTACATTCCTTCCAAGCAACTTTCGAATTGAATTAAAAATTAACAGACGCAGTGTAATTTCTACAACGTAATTTTCATTTCGAGACATAAATTAATATTTTATAAATAATTTAAATTAAAAATAATTACCTCCGCATCCGGAATCGCAACACTTGCATTTGTCGCCGCACTGACATTGTTGGCACTTGTCTGTAAAAAATTTTAAACATTAAGTAAGAGATACGTATACAAAATATCTTAACAACTTTATTGAGAAAATTTGTGTTAGCTGTAGATAAATTGGTCAACCTCATCAACTGAGGGTTCCCCGTAATAGCGTTTGATGAATAAATTATTGCATTACTTCCTGTATAAAGCAATGACGCTAACTACATATTATAAACGTTCCAAGAAAATACCGCGATTTTCAAAAATTTACCATTTTTTAAATTATTTATCATCAAACGTTTGTATAGAAAAATTCATGAATTCTAATATTATGTTTCATAACAATAATTAAATCTAAAGAAATAAAAGTAAAATAAAGTATTTTAAATACAAGTAGGTAAAATTACAAAAATCAAGTATAAAAAAATTAGTTTAAAAAATTAATAATAATTGTAAGTAACATACAATATAAGCGTGGGTATAAAAAGGTATAAAAATATACCTATAAAATTAAAAACTTTCAGAAATGTATAGAAAATACTAGAACTCGAGTAAGGATAAATAGACTTACAAAAAATTTCACAATAATTTAACGAATTGCATGCATTAAAATTGCATCAGAAATTGCCATATTACATATAAAATTTCTTCAAATTATAACTATCTTTTACCTGTGCACTTATCGCAACCTGGTCCCGGCATCTTCACTTGTAATAGTTACTTCACAATCGAGTCTTCGAATCCGGTGGATGCTGAACGATCACTTGTCAGTTCCGTCGTTCTGGTTCGAATTTATCGATCATCTCCTACCGTGGGCATTCTTATACCAAAGCAACTTAACGGCGTGTGCAACTAGCACCGTGCGTGCCATGCGCAAATCAGGAGCGTACTAATTCGTAGTAGTCCTACGTGGAAACTTTTGAATCTATAAATTACAAATATTTTTTTATATCAATCCGCAGCATTCTTCTTTTTAATAATTTCAATAATTTTATACATTTTTAAATATTAAATGCAATATTCCAGACTTTCCAGTTTTATATTATAAATTGTGTATTACAGCTTATTTCATTAATACAAATTTTACAACTGCGCAATACATGGAAAAAAGAATGCTAAATAATGATAATTCTACTATTACACATCAACATGCTTATAAGCATATTTAAATGCTAACATCAATAGCAAACAAGAATTGTTTAGGGGCCCTCGAACATGTAATTGTACATCCCTGAACTAGTGCAGCACGGACCCAATGAAAAACGGTGCGCGTTACACTACAGTATGAGATAAGAACATTAATATTTCACGAATCAACTTGAATCACTTCTAGGAATTTCATGCAAAGAATGCACTAGTAACTTATAATTAAAATAGTAAATAATTGTATTTATTGATATTTATTTTAAGAGTCTATTAAAACGCATAATATTTTTTACGCATAAAAGAAATATTTTTTGCGTATATCGTCTTATTTAATAAGAAGTAAAGGTTATAAACTTTATTATAAACATTTTAAAATATAAATAACAAAATTAAACGAGATTACATATATTTTATTAAAAATTAATGTTTTCCATCAACCTTTAAACCACTTATATAAAATATATGAAGTACGAACTTTATCACAAACTATAAATTGTATTTAAATATTTCCCCATTTATGTATAAAATTTGTTTTATTAGCTGCTTGTTCAATATGAATAGATTCATCTTCTGGTTCATAATTAATTTCATATACTTCGTTATTTGCTAGATTCTTTACTTTTTGTGCTGAATTTTTCCGACCTAGAAATATTTTTTAAATATGAATATTTTAAATCATCGATCTCATGTCTTTGAATCTTTTTATATAATATAATAATACCTTGATGTCGGATGACAATTTTACTTTGAGCAACTTCAAGTAATTTCTTCATACGAGGCCCTTGCTTAGGTGATTCATTTTCTTTTATCTAAGAATATAATGGATTAATATATTTATAAATAAAATGAACATATATAGAAATACGTACCGTTTTGATTTGTAAGGGGAGTTTATATGAAACCTTTGGAAGTATAAAATTATTTTTTGGCATATTATCGTTCTCTAGCAGATTTTTGTATGCCTTAAAAAAACAAAGAGAGAAACATAAATGAATTTAAAAATACTCAATGCCACAATATATTTAAACAAATTTATACATATATTTATATTTACCTCTTGTTTATAAACATTTACTTTAGGAGATAAATTAATCTTAAGAGGTGTCTTTTCCTGACTTTTATTTATACATTTCGGTGGAGTATTTTCTTCTTTCAAGTTTTTATTTAGTGATATTTTTACATTCCTTTTCACAGGTGTAAGCAATAAATTATCTGTTTTAGCACGTACATTTTTTATAAGTTGCATATCTGTACCTCTTATATACATACCCACTGGTGATATTACAGTATTATAATTCAATCGGTATAAGCCTTCTGCATGTGGACTCTTTAAAATGTGTCTTACCTTTGTGTGCTTTACAGGACTGTGCATGTTTGGAAAGTATACTTTTTTCTTCTTATGATCTGTATTGGAAGGACTTTTTCCTGGTGTGACAAAGAGTTTTGGTTTTACATTTTCTTTCTGCCCTTCCTTTTCATTACCTTGCTTTTTTGACAATGGTGACGTATATAGATTACAAGATTTTACATTTGGACTCAAAAGAGTACATTTTCTTCTATATGGTGATTTTTTAATATTCCAAGTTTCTTTCTTTGAAACTGTATTTCTTTCACATTTTTCATCAGATTTCTCAGTTTTCTTAATGTTAGTTTCAGTTGCACAAGAATTTGAATTTTGAAGTAACTTAAAGAGAGGTTTTTGTTTTTCTAAATATGATTGATAGTCTTTACAAGATACAAGAGTTTGCAAAAATTTTGTTTCATCCTCCAATGAATTTGATTCATCGTCAGTGGTAAACAAAGGAGACATTCTCAATGTTTTTATTACTTCAGGGTCTGCATTAATTTCTGTAATAAGTTTTGCTGTATCAAGACATCTCTTTCTTTTTTTTGCTATATCTTCAAAAAGTGTTTTTTGTAAGTCATCTGGATCTAACATTTCATAACTATTTGTAAGCTTATCTGGTGTTATATTATCAAATTTTTCATTCATTTTTCTGGATTTTTTCTTTGAGTACGAAAGATTATTAGTTATCTTTTGGTTATCCTTTGATTTATTATGTAATTCATTTAATTTTGAGAAACTGTGTTCTGGTTTACTTATAATTGGACTTTGATATATACATTTGTCTAATAAATTTGGCATGCTCAATATTGTATTTTCTTTATGATTTTCATCATTTGATACATTTAATGATGCCATTTGTTGTTCACATATATCATGGATTTGACTCATGCTTAACAAAGATGGCATCGATGAACTTTTAAGTAAAGGTTTAGAATATTCCTTTTCTTCAGGAAATAATCTGTTGCATTGAGCCTCTAAATGTTCAAAAGATGTACTACCAGATTCATTAATAACACTATCAATGTTTCCATTGTAATTATTTTTTGATATTTTAGCAAAGAATCTTTTTCTAATTATGTCTTTACCAGAAATAGGTGTGATAGATACAGATGCATTTATAGGGGAACACAATTTATCATTTTTAAAATTTTTTATATGATCAGATTTACTACACGCAGGGCTTATAGAAACGCGTTGTGGACATGGAGGTGTAGACATTGGAGATGGGGGCCATTCAGGAGCAGATTCATCTTCTATAAATTTACACATTTTTCTAAATTCTGTTGTTAATCTACTTAAATCTATTGCAGATGTTTCATTTCTATCATCGTCATTATTTATAACAGATTCTTCAATGATAGTTAAAAGTCTTTCAGTAAAGTTTCGTGGTGAGTGTACAAATTTATCAGATAAACGTTTTAAAACTTGCTGTGTCTGAGAAACTTCCTTCATTCGATTAAGTTGATTATCTAATGAGCAAAGAATTGTTTCAAATTTCTTTGTTTCATTATTTGCATGTTTTTCTTCACAATTTTTAGAAGTCTGTTTACCTTTATCTATACAATTCATTAAAGGAGCAATTTGTGATATTACCGTTGTATTACATGCACTTTGTTCTAAGATTGAACTTGCATTTAATTCAGTGTTATTTATATTGTAATTAGAATCTCTTTTTGAATTTTCACCCATTGTAATAGACTTTAATTTAGTATGTGACTCTTCAGTTTGTTCCTTGATTGTACATGACAATTTAGTAGTCATATTCTCATTTACAGAACTCTGAGGATTATTACTTTCTTTATCATTCACTTTAATAGCTGATTGCTCAACTTGAAATAAGTCGATACGTTTATTTAAGTCTGGAACAGGATGAACTTCCGAAACTGAAGTAAATGTAATCGATGAATCTTGTATAAAAGAGTGTTTTAGGGAACGATCAGCTAAAACATTGGAATGTTTATTGTTGTATGTAATGTCATTCAATCCAGTACTTGTACTTTTAACTTCATCCGAACTATACTCAGATATCGAACAAAGTGAATCGGTATCGATGTCATTAGATCCTGAAAAAAAAGTTATTTAATTAATAGGAAAAAGTAAGTTAATAAGAGTATGTGAGAAAAACACCTGTATCATCAATCTTTTACTTACGATAACTATTTAATGAATCTGTGAAATCATTAGCTCGTCTTCGACGTCGGCTCATTTTAATATCAATATTGAAATTTTATTCACACTCGATCATACGATTTTTGACACAACGCTATACAGGATCCGTTATAAACGTTACGAACTACACCATTGATCCTTTTTGAATTATCAGTAATACCAACATACTAACTGATTATATAAATGAAATAATATACATTTTATGTTGGCAGAATAGCGAATCGTACAGTCTGAACGTAATTGCTTGTTTCTTTAGTATTTTTTAACTCGTTAATATATAAAGTAATATAAAACGATATCAAGACAACCGTAAATCTATTGTTATTCATTTTTATTTTTATTTATATTTTTTATAGATTCATGTGAAATTTTGTACAAATTTACCACAAGATGTATTATTCAATTGATTGATTGAATAATAATCTTCATGAGTGTAAATGAACAGTTAACAACAAGTGTTTTCCCGCTTAGTACGTACGATAAAAAATATGCAGAATTTGTAAATAAAGTATTAAAAGAATCAGCTGACAGTTTCGAAAAAGAAAAAAAATGTATGCACATTGTAAATTTTTGTAATTATTAACAATAAACTTTTATAGCAACAATGGATAATTTTAGTTTTAGATAATGTACTGTTAAATCTGTACAATGTATTTGGTGGTATATTTGAAAGAGCATTAGAGTTATATGAACAAGGACGTATAACATATATCTTTGCTTCTGAAAGTGCCGGTGTTGCACCTTACAGTAACAGAAATAATGCCAGATATTTAGTACAAGTTAAGGGATTATCAGGAGCAATATACACGTTTTTTCCAGATATAAATTATTGTATTTGTGCTTCCTTTAGGTATAAGGTTTCTAACATTTCTAAAATAACCTATGATAACAAAGAAGATTATTATGAAATTTTTTATTTTCAGGTGTCAAGTGTTAAACAATAAATCTCTATTCACTTGCAAACATGTTTTAGCAGTTTGGTTAGCTTCAGTTACAAAGGAAAAGGTGTCCTATCAATATATAACAGAGAAACAATTGCAAAATTTGTTATTGTATCAAGTTTCAAATAAACAACATGTGTCCTGAAGTAGAAAATTATAATCTAGTTGCAAAGTTGGGAAATCTTAAAATCATAGTACAATTATTAAAAGCAATTAACTTTAAAGAGGTACAATGATATCAGAATGTCTTATTTAAACTTTCAACTAAGACAAAGTATGTTTAATTTAGGAAACTTATTATTTTACTTAGAGTGCTACATGTTTTGGAACTGATAATGGTTTAAAAGTAACAGTGGAAGATGCAAAATGTATGCAAGCTAGCGCTTATATTCCAATTCGTGTATTTCAAGTGTTTAATTTAAAGGAGGATGTAATTTTCAAGATAAATTTAAATGTATTAGTGGAATGTCTTTGTATGTTTTGGGGTAACATAAACTCTCAAGGAAATTCCGTGGCTTTACAACTTTGCTATAAGGTACACATGTATATACTTAAAGAATATCATAGGTCTTGTGGACAGAATTGTTTATTAATAGAAATTTTTAATAGGGTAATGGACATCCTGTAACAGTTCTAATAGAAGAAAATGGTATTATAACGGACTGTTCTTTAAAAACTCAAGATCCAGATGAGTTATTAGATTTTCATCTTGAACCAGAAAATGTTTTAAACAAAGTAGTTCTTCAAACTGAATTATTAAAGGATGTCTTATCAGAACTTGATTCTACTAGCGAGTTGATCAATGTAAGAAATGATATAACATTTAAAAGTTTTACTATTTTCTTATCCAGAATCTTATATTTTGATAATATTGCAGTTGCTTTTGTCTCCTTCTCCACCCTTTTTTCGTATTAGTACAGCTGGTTTAGCTGGACTTTGTCATATAGAATTACCTCACGATGGCGAATTGGTCGATAACTTTCAATGTACTTCAAAAGCTATATCCAGTTATAAACTTTCACATATTAAACCAGCCATGAAAGCATTATCGTGTGCAAATAAAGTTTCTTTGAGGACTGATACATGTGGACTATTGTGTTTCCAATACATGGTTAAAACTGAGGAAACTCATATTTGTTACATAGAGTATTATGTAAGGATAACTTTATTCCAAATATTTACTAAGGAACACCGTATAAAGATATACATAAGTATGTAAACAAAATTTTTCAGATTTCTCCCGTGATAGACGAAGATGAATAACTTTATTTATTATGATAAGGAAATAGCGGGATTGTAAATACGAACTAAAAGTTTTTCGAAATTGTTTTTTTATTTTATATTATTCGTAATTAAAGCTTTTCATTCATTGTATTCGTTCCTATTGTATTTGTATATATTAAACAAAAAAGATATTTTCATACAAAGTTGTTCAAAATTATAGTTTACTCATTGCGAATATCTTCGATATATCCAACATAGATATAACATGCATGGAAGCATACGAATGACATTCAAAGATGCATAAAAATATATATAAATTTTTTATATTTTTGAAACGCTGTGTAACAATTTTTGTTATGTACATGAATATAAAGTAACATTATATTCGTACATCGTATTATGTTGCAAAATGTCATATTCTTCAAAATAATGTCATCAACGTTTATGCTTTCATTTGTATTATTGTGCGTGTAAAAAATGTTTATACTCTTCTTTTACATTTATTCGACCAATGTATTACCCTTTAATCAACGAGAATAACTTTCAGCATCATCAATCAATCCTTAATCCGCCGCGGAACGTTATTTTCTCGAACAAAATTTTTATTCCTGGGTCTTGTACACTCTTGTACACACAATATCGTCAACTTTCATGATCTGCAACATAATAAAAGGTATTCATTTATTTATACAGAACATTTTATATGTTCATCGTTGTACGAATCTAAGTATACGATGCGTGTATTTTTTTAACCGTCTTTCAAGGCTTCGAAACAATTATTATTAACTCTATTATTGAACTTGTTATTACATTGTTCGAGTCACGAAGAGCACGCGGTAATTGGCGGACCTTTTGACCAATGACAGGCACTGTTATTATCATCAGATGTTCGCCCTGTTATCTTTCGTTGTGTCGTTCAGCCCTACAGAACTTTCATTGCACAAAATGTAATTCAATTGAAACACTAAACTTCTAATTCCTTAACGATCAAGATTATATAATTTATCGTGATCCAAGTTCTCATTACATTTGCTGTTTACGATTAAGCTAGGAATATAAGCTAAAGAATGTAATATAAACTCTCAGCAAAAAAATAATGTGAAGGTTGCGATGAGACTATAACGTGATTAAGTTACACGTTTCTTTTTCTTTTTTTTTCTCACTTTGTTTACCACGTTTTTTTAGCCATACATACCGCTTTCATTTCCGTCGGTGTAAATTCTCTTTCAATAGTAGTCTGTTTTTCTCCGTTTTGTATTTGAATAAGTTTATTTCCATCTAAAGTGCAGACGCTCTGCACTTTGCGCCCGTCCGGCGTTTCCTCGTCGAACTCTTCTCCAAGCTTGAATTTTATTTCAGAATTCTTGAACGGACTTGTCGTTTTCAACGTATAAAGTCCATCGCTCTCCGTTAATTGAACCACGGGGCTCACGCTGCTACCCATTTTACGTATCATCATACCTACACCTGGAAAATAGAACAGGAACCATGGTTTAGGGATATTCAGCTCCGAAGAAACGCCTTAACCTTAGATTTAAAACAAACTCGTCTGCGAAAAACGAACGCGAAGATATCTTGTTACGCGGTCGAAGCATTGGAACATTAATTTGCACGTTAACTTGAAGCAGAAAACTCTTCCTTACCCAAGGCTTTCATGTAATCATCGAAATTTTCACTCGATTGAAGTTTATAACGTTTCCCGTAATTGTCCGAAAGCATCTCGAACGAATGAAGCACAACGCGTAATCGACGAAAGTAAAAGCAAGACTAAACAGTGGCGATACCATTATCGCTTTTTATACCGAGAATAATGAAGTCAGACAGATCTCCCTCGGTTAAAATGCCAAATCCAGCGCAAACTTAGTTTGAACTTTTCTCCGATATTTTTCATAATTCCCTGATTCCATAATGTGTCGCGTATATCTTTGAAAGGAAAATCGTAATGAGTTATCGTAATCTTGTTTGCTCGCATCGAATTACATCGTGTACGCGATATTTGCTTTTAATATATTCAGCGCGTATTAAAAGACTAATTATATACCATGGTGAATAAAAGAAAAAGCATCGGATGTTTGACATGATCGTTGTTGACATGTTATATAACTATGTGCCGCCGGTATTCTTAGTCACACGGTTGAAAGGTGATTGCGAGTACGAGAGCTGAAATATCATCGCGGATCTGCGAAAGATACGCGTATCCTTTCGCACGTACGCGAAGCGTCAGTTTTTCAGCTTGCCTCGATCCGAGGAAGGAATAATTTATATTTCTTGCCCTATTAGTCAACACTTGACGCGTGGGCGATGTCGATCAGACTGAACTTGCACTTTTATTTAATTTCCGGTAACCGTATGAAATAATCGGCTGCATCACGATGAGAGCGTGAAAAATGTTGCGGATGATTCGTACATTTTGTTGTCATTTACAATGCGACCAGTGATTCACACTCGGCAATGTTACACGTTTCGTCGTTCGATCAAGCACCCGGGACCTTATTCGTCTATTATCAGGCAACGCGGTCAGTGTATTTTTATTAAGTCAACTCCATAAGTACCATACATTAGTACGATTCGACTGACAATTGCGATTTATTAATCTTGCCGGTAAATTAATTCAAGTGCTAAATTGGAGTACAATCGGACTCTCTGTCTGTGGCACATGGCGGGAATTAAGCGTGAGGTCAGGTCGTTGCACAGCCACGGGAGCATAGTTCAACATATTAAAATTGATTATCTTATTTATCATTACAATACGTTGCCAGCCCTAATATTATAAATGAGATCGTTCGTTTGCGACGAAATTAAATCTCACGGGGAAGGAACCGGCTTACGCGTATTTCGTGACATTAACCGTGCACGATGCCACGCATTCCTCGTGTTCGCCTGGATACATCGAAACATTTTACCGTCGTCTTATTTTAACCTTCCACCGTCAGCAGACTATTTTCATAATAAACGTATTACGCGTTCGCCTAAATGACCGAACCTGTAACATCGATTACTATCACAACGTACAACTTGACCAGCCATTTGTATTCGAATAGCGTATCGTAATACCAATAAGAACGTTTCGTTATCCGTGTCATTTATCGCCATATCGGCTCCATCATCGGATCCCTATTAAAACGCCTATTTTATTAAACGATAAGATAGCTTCGGGATACTGCGCGTAATGTTTTCAATAAATATTCCGCTTCGATTGCAGTGTTTGTGTACTTACAACGCCACTTGACAGTGATAATAGCGTCTGATACCGCCTAATCTTCGGGTGAAAATTCGTGCAACGATATACGTAACGTCTCGTGGAACAGAATTCGCCGTTGCGCTGCCTCGTATGCATGTGTGCGTGTAATTATGACTCTCGGGGGAATGTCCTTACGCGATAAAACGCGATCAGAGTAACCTACTATTATTAATTCATACGTACCGAGCGCTTTCATGAAATCGTCGAAATTCTCGCTGCTGAACAGCTTGTACTTCTTTCCAAGGAACTCCGGCATGGCGATCGATCGAATTTGTCTGGACCCGAACACGTGACCAAAGAATACAGGTCTATAAAAGGACGATAGCTGTGGTCGGATTGGGAAACAAGAGCAATGGCCCGATGCTCACCGTCTTGTCGCCGGCTTTAGACTGACTAGGATCCGGGAGGACGAAGAGCGTTAAAGGTATACGCTTGGTCTGGACTGATATCTCTCTCTCTTCTTCTTCTCCCTCCCTCTTTGCCCCTCGATATGTCCTCTCTCGCTCCTTTTCGTTCACCCCCTTTCCGCCCTTCCCTCGATCGATCTCTGTTTCTCGTTCGACTTTCCTCACGCTCTTTCCGTCTTCTATTCGAAAATCTTCCGTCTCTCTCCCACCGTTTTGCTCGCGCGTTTGGGCGGTCCCCTCCCGGCATATTCGCAGCTGCTGCGCGGAGACGGTTTCTTGTTCTTGTACTTTGCAATCTTCTTTCTTTTTTTTTTTTTTTCTCCTCCGACGTAAATCATACATCTTGTAATGTCAAATCGTTTTTTCGTGTTCTTCGTTTCCCGTATCGCAAATTCTATTCAACCGCTATGATCCTGCCTTTCCTCGCGTTGGAAATACCTGTCGGTAAATAGCCGTTACGAATCAGAATGCATACGTTCGCGTATAGAAACTGATCGATTTTTTTGCAAGTACAAATCACGAGAACGATGTTTTATGACGGTTGCTTTATACGGCGTATAATCGGTGATCATTGCACTGTCGTTTTTTTGGAAAATGTTCATAAATTTCCACGATTTTTTGTAATCCCATTTAAATTGCTGCACGGCGGTTTAAATGTTTATCTAGATTACTATGGCTTTAGCGATGGCGAATTATTTAACTAGGAAATAACGCGACGCGAGTGGTCATGCGCAAATATTTACCTGCGACTATGCCGAAGTTGGCCGCTTATCGGACAACGAGCATCTGCGCGCGATACGCCGATCGTCGTGGTGGTGCGTTGCAACGAAAGTATGCACGCGACTTTGTAATTAAAAATGCTGGAAAAATGTCGGATCGATTAATTTACTTGTTTACTCGGAAGGAGCGTGTTACCTGTGCCACGATGCAGACCAAAGGCGAGAAACATTGGTACGCGTATAACACGGAGCGTATTATGAAACTGTTATAATTAATCCGCAGCTTCTGTTTATGAAAATCATGGCGGTGTGCGTACTAGATGGCAAGTAAGATAAGGGAGTATAGCGTTTCATTCGGAGAGCAGCCGGCGTCGATTTCGCTGCGTTTGCCAAACGGCCGGACATGGTCGATAACGGCGCGGTGGAAACGCGACGACGTGGCCGCGGCGTGTCCGCGTCCATTCCTGTTGAGCACGGTGTATCTACGATCGCGTAGCAACGCGCCACTTTCGACGTACTAGCACACCTAGCAGCAGGTCTGGCAACGTCGAAACTTGCGCGAATTCCGCATGGTCGACGACGACGAGAACGCAATCCATCGGTGCCCACCGCGTTCTATCGCCACGATCCCCCGAGCGTTTGTCGCCGCGCGTCAATCATATGGAATCCTCGATGCCATTCTCGTTTTCCCGATGCAATCGTCGCACAGCTCTACCCCGTTCGATAACCGTCCCGTTCGGCTTTTCGCAGGATTACGTAATTGCACGTCGGATTTTCACGAATCCATGGACCGATCTATTTATAGCGGCGAAGTTCACGTTTGTTCGCGCGCGAATATCGGACTGCCTCCTACAACCGGTTCCAGCCGATCACCGGTTTCTCTGCCGGCGTTATTATAAATCCGGTGCGGTCGATGCGCGCGAGTATCACCGCATTGGAAATGCGGCGGCGACGACCGGCCAACGAGGACGCGTCGCACACACATCCACGCAGAGGAAAGGAGGCAATCGCGACGTGCTCGCGGGTTTCGCCGTCTTTTCAGCCTCGGCTGGCCGGGTAGATTTGGCAACGCTGCGGCATAGCAGCGGCATAGATTCCGCTCCGCAACCGCAACCGCACGCCAGCCTAGCGCCATGATGCCAAACCAAGCTAGCCGTACAACGGTTTCTCCGCAGTGACGCGCAAGCTGCCGGCGACGGCGTAGCACACACAAGCCGAATCGCTTGCGGGATCATAACGTTCCGTCCAAAATTCTTTTCCAATTCTTTTCTCGGTCTCCGCGCCTCGATTCACGGCATTGGCCACGCACGAATATTCACGCGCGATACGGATCTCGTCTTCTTTCGCCGCGAATTCGCCGGCTCGTGCCACCGTATACACACGCTCGGCTTAATCCGAATCGATAGCCCCCGTATCTTTCACGTTCGCCCGTTCAAACGCGATCGTCTCTTTACATTTCGTTCAGCGAGCAAACTGCCAGGAAATACGAGCAACTGCGCGTAATTCGTACCACCACGCTCGTCAACGGATTACGACCGAAACGCCATTTTGATTTTTCTCTTTCGATCCCTGTATATTAGGAAAGAAGAAGCTGTACTTGCATGCTAGAGCCCTCGGCGAGGGTCCTTTAAAATTCGTCCCTGAGCAGCATCGACGTTTGATAACCACTCGGCTGCAGCCGCAGTACTGATCACGTGAACACGCTTTGTTTATATTTTCTGCTCCTTCTCGTTGAACGAATTTCGTAATTTGCATCGTCGAGGCAGCCTCCGATTTCGCTTTCCCGTTATTTCCTTCGTCTCATCTTTCCGCTGATCGCGAGCGTTTGGCGCTGAAGAGCGACGAGGGGGAAAAGAAAAGGGGGTACAGAACGGAGAGTGCGGAGGGTGATTCGGACCTTCGCGCCATCCCCGACATGTTCGATACGGAGAAATTTATCGAAGAAATCGAGAAACGACCGGCGATTTACGATGTGAATCGTAGCGAGTACAACGACCGTAATGCCAAGATGACCGCGTGGGACGAGGTCTGCCAGGTGATGGTACCGAATTGGGCGCGCTTGACGGACGAGGAGAGAAACGTAGAAGGTATACAGCCTCTTGCGATCGATCGATCCGGATTCCTCGACTTGCACTTACTCGACCCTGGCACAAGTCGTCGTGACCGTACCGCAGTCGTTTAAAATTAGTACAAACTTTTTTCCTCGTTCAGCGATTATGAAAGTGACGATTGTTTACTCGGGGAATAAATCGAGGAATAAACCAGATCGAAATAATCTCGTCTTTCATCGATATAACAGAGTATTTTCTTTCTTCCTCTCGCTTTATCTCTTTTTTATTTCACAATCGTTAAGGTCGATAAAAAGTATTATTTTTTACGAGATTAATTTTATCCGTTATCGTTAATAACTACGCATGTAAAGTAACAAGATCACGACTACAGCAGTCCCGTAATTTTCAGAGAAAAATTTACGGGGAAAATGGAGAAATATCCGTGACTATTTTATGAAAGAACTGAAGCTTCAGAAATCGCAGAAATTAGGGCCAGCTGGTCGAAAACGAAAGAAATATATGTATTTCGATCAGCTGCTGTTTCTAATGCCAACGGTGGAGAATAAACGGTTGGTACCATCCGGTTGCTCGAGCGCGAAGATAGCTCGTATTTAAATGGCGCATCGGCCAGTTTACAGACGGTATGCCCGTATTCCTATACGTTACAGAAATGCCGGCACTACATTAAGTAATTGCAAATCCGAGGAGAGCGAGGGCGAAGTTGACAATCCGGTGATCGAGGAATACGACGTACCATTGGCCCATGCCGCTCCCTCCATTGCGACTGGCAGGGAATACCTTCAACCGGGCGCTTCCTATAAAATGTGCCCCCGTTATCCGAAGCAGCTTTGCGAGACGTCGTTCACGTCCTTCGATAATGAAATTCACGATATCCTGTCGTCGCACAGCAGCCAACGCGTCGCTTACGACGAGGACGACTACGACAAAATGTTTCTGCTCTCCTTATTGCCGATCATTCGACAAGTGCCGGAAGAGAAGAAGCTCGACGTCCGGATACAGATGCAACAAGTCTTGGCCCTGGCGCTTCGTCCTCCGGATAACAAGCAATGATAATTTCCACGCTTCGACGGTCGATAATTTACGAATCGAAGCGCGATAAACCAGGACACGTGAGTAATGCTAGTCCACGCGAAAAATTCACTTCTTTCTCCTTCTCGCGAGGAACCTCTACCACTCAAGGGAACAGCCAACGCTTGTCCACCATTATAGTATCACGGATAAACGTATTTTTCCACTTCTAGATGTCGCGCGGGAGTTACGCGTTTAGACTGCACATCGATTGTGTTCGTTTTGATATAATTGTCGATAACAACGTAGATCGTAGACTGTTTATATCGTAAATATAGCGAGAGCACGATAATGTTTGACAGTGTTTCAGACATAGGCCTTTCACGAAAGAACCATGACTCAACGAATTGCACTTCGAGTACCTATACCTGTGATATTACGCGAGGAAAAATACTTTTGACAAATGCAGAAACAGAAATAGTATCTATAACGCTTCCCACCGTGGGATGGGTGATATAGTTGTTTTTCGTACATACGACAACGACATATGTATTTTCGTAACTTCGAATAAACGTCGGTGATGTACCAGCGATATTCGTCCAACATGGACGACGTGTGGATGTATGAGAGGCGAGATTATAACGAATAAACGTGCGAAAAGTACATCGCGTGTAGCGTTACTTTTCGTCGATACAGAATTCGTTTGTGTTTGGGGATGCGTGGACAGGTGGCAGCACCGGTACCACGCTTTCGGACTTTCCACTTTTCGTACTCGATGTAACGGATAACGAAGCACTTAATTTAGCAATTTAGACATTTAATTGAATCATGGAAATTATTCCATTAAAACGCGTCTACTTAATTTCCAACTTAAACGTCGTACTTGTAGTAGTATTTATCGACGAATACGGCTCGTATCTACTCATTTTGTACTAATGAATTATTTATCCGTTTGAAATAAAATTATTACCAAAACCCAAACCACAAACATTTCAATCGCTGCTTCACTATTCTTCCCGTCGCGAAAATTCCCACGCGACGAGGAAAAATTTCACGCGTCTTCGCGTGAACTTCCAAATATCCGTTGTACCCCGAGAAATCTAACGGTGACGCAAATGGTCGTGATATCATTTACATCCTGATACGTTGGAAAAGTTTTCCAGTCGCATTTCAGCGCGACGTAAAATCTCGCGAGAAGTTAAGAGGTCTACTTTAACGCGGTTCACGCGTTCATGATCGTCAACTGGAACAAGACTTCTTCGCGCGTAAACGAGTTAAACGGAATTAAATCGGTTGGCTGTCGAGTCCTGGCTCGATTCCGAGGATTGTTTCATCTTTTTATGAAAACGCTCGTTTCTGATCCGAGCCAAGATGGAAACGCGATCCGATGTCACCGAAAGCAGACGAATCGCACGTCGCTTGACTTTTACACGCTACGAATTTCGTTTAATTATCCGCACTCGCGTCCTCCGCTAGATGGCGTCCTGTTGTTTCGTAACACAAAATGGTATTCACGCGAGACATCTAATTATAACGGATAACGAGATTCGTGCGGAATGGAAATGCGCGATCTTTTGCTCGATTTTTGGGCAACGCCACAAAGGATTGGAAAACGCGATATGTTTGCTTTGTTGGTTTAGTGACTGCGCAGTGGCTAGTATCGATTAAAAATTCTGCGATGTAAAAGACTTTGCGGTTATCCGCGATCGTTGCTCTTCCAATCACGAACCCGGAAACGCGAACCCCATTTGCGAATATAAAGCAATTTAGGAATGAAATTTTCCGCCAAATCTCTTTAACCAGACGTAGCGAGTAAATTGAATTTTGATTCGACGCTACTATCCGGACTGTTCGCCGGAATACCGAAACAAACGTATTTTAGTATCTGGACCATTGCCTACGCCTATTAGCTGCTGGTCCCTACGCATTTAAATATAAACTGCCAGTCGTTGACTTTCCATATAAATCGCGTAGACCCCAGACACCTTTGATCATAACGAACGATTCCATTTTACGAGGAAACGAAATGAAAACGTAAGAAATTTCGACGTCGTCATTTCCTTTGTCACCGAACATTTACGATCGAACGTCCGGACAATGGAAATGCATCGTATTTGCACGCCATTGTCTCGTTTCTTTGCCATTTATTCCTTCTTCTTTTTTCCTTTTTCCCCATTTTCGATAGTCGAAAAAGGACGAAACAAAGGGACGATCCGCGAATATACAGTATCTCGGTGTATTTCCAAACAATGAGCCATTTTTCCCCGCTATACGTATAATTCGCTAATAAATTACTTCAACGAGATCTCCTCCTCGTCCGATCTTTATCCGTCGTTATTATTTATCGCGATCGCGTGGATCCTCGTTCGAGGGGCGTAAAGATCGATTCGTGGATCCCCGGGTTGAAATTCCAGGCTATAAAAATGGCATTAACGGGTCGACATGGAGAATCTTGGTAACCGGCCTGGAACATCAGCCGCGTAAACATACAAGGGTTACCAGCAACTAGTGGCGTTCGTTGAAACCCTACCCTCGGTGAATCCTCCTTTCCCTCCCATTCACTCCCTTCCTGAATAGACACAGCCCCCCTCTCGATCTCCACGTATCAACCCCTCTCTCCTAGCCGTTTCTCTCACCCTCGCTCGTTCACCATTCCCCTCCTCTCGCTCTCTGTCTCTTTCCCCCTTCGACACGCGCGGCTTTCTCTCGCGCGCGCGTTCTTCTGCCTCTGGAGCAACTCGCAGCATCCATCGGCCCGCTCCGGACTTCAGTCCATGTCGAGAACGCGGCACCGCCGGGACCCTAAGGACCCTTCGACATTCACGAATCCTTAGACCTTGCGAGCTAGTGGTGTCCAGGCGAACCCGTTTATCCGAGAGCCGCAGCCCCGGTTCCACGAGATCGTCGATTTCGCAACCTGTCGAGCGTATTTTTCCAAATAAATCACACACCGCGATTCCTGTCTCGGCACGACAGCTCGTCCCGTGCTCATCTCGAATGGTAGCCGAAATCTCAGGCTTCTTCCTCGATCGAGCATCCTATGCTACCAGCGAAACGACCCGTCTCTAAGCGTTCTTAAATCGCCGAAATCGTCGAGATCGTCACACGCACGAGCAATCGGCGATCGACCAAACGAGCCGAAGCGAATTCTCGCGAGTTCCCTGGGCCATTTCGGCCTAGAACGCCCGGTCTCGTCCACGGAGGAGCAGCGATCAGCTGAGACCCCCTGCGGTCGTAACGGATGCTTTAAGGGGTTGCGAGGAGTAAAGTTAGAGAATCGCGAGCGCATTCGAAGCGGACAGAAGTAAGTCCGAAGCGTGATCTTTGCGGAAGCAGCAGTCGGGAGAAACGAGGAGCCACGAGGGCCCGCGAGGAGACTGAAGAAGAGCGATTTCCCGCGAGACTGCCGGGGGTTGTTGCCCAGCCCCGGGGAAGCGGACATCAGGCCCGGATGTTCGCAAGGTCGAGACGCCGGAAGCGCTGCCATGCTCCAAGGGAAACTATTCACGGCCGTCAACAAGTTCCTTACGACATCCCCTTTGGTTAACAAAATCAAGTTGCTGATTGTAAGTGTCTTTTACTTCTCTCTCTCTCTCTCTCTCTCTCGCACTCTCGCACTCTCACGCCCCTCCATCTTTGTCTTTGACCTTCTTCTCCACTGGCACAGTTTCTCTTCGACCTTATCGAGAAAAGTTGTCAGTCGCTGTCTCCGGCTTCGTCGTGTCCCGAGCCGTTCCGAGGAAGTTATTTAGAAGATTGTCGTACGTATCCCCGTCTAGTCCGATGGCAAGGATATTTCTTGCATATCGAAATCGCTTCTCTTCCCTCTCGTCCTATCGTCCTCGTATAAAAAGTGCATCGGTCGTCGGGGTTACGGGAAAGTCGAGCTATATTCCCGGCAATTTTCTTTAGTGGAAAAATACGGTTTTCCCGGAAACGGCGAGGTAAAACGCGAAACACCGATGGGAGGGGGTGGAATTTCGAGAAATTCCTCGCGGCTGTAACATACCGTCAACCCTTAAACTGGAGATACGTTTCGCTTCAAGGTACTAGCGGACATACGCAACGAAAACGTTATGTCACGGGAACGATGACGATATGTTAGAAACGCGAGCAATAAGCCGCAATAAGTTTCTTCGTCGTTAGCCTATCTCCAGTTTGGCCAAGCATTCGTGGCAGTGACTCTTTCCGAAACGCGACCTTTTTATCTCCGTGGCCACGAAGCGGGAATTTCGTGGCAGCAAAATGGCCCGTGGAAACTTCCAACTTGTTTTTCCCGGCCATGAATACGACCAGAATGGCGCCTTTAATTGCACGCAATTATCTAGCTCCACACTTGTTCGCGCACTGTTACGTCTTTTTACACCCCGAGCTCATCCAACTTGGTACTTTCATTTGCTTTTTCGGAACGCTCCCTCGGGCTCCCGTTTAATCTTCGATGTGTCCGTCGTAAAAACGTGTTCATTAAAGAATCAGATTAACGGAGCTCACCGAGTGATTTATCGCGTCCCACGCGTTACGTTTCTTACCGTGCCTCTCGCGATTTCTTCGCGAAAATACCGCGACTCGCCAGTAAGGAATTCGGTATTCCGTCATACGCAGGAGCTCGCTGTCTCGGAACGGATTGAAATTACTGGTCGGACGTTAATGCAAATCGATGATGCTCATATCCACGAGAGCCCTTACACTCGGATCCCTCGCAGTGCTCCAAATTATATAGATTACACGCGTCAGTTGTTTACCGGGTGGAACAATCGAAACACTCCATTTCCCTCGTTTTAACTTGTTGCTCGTGGTACCGTTCCGATACCGTGTTCTCTTCGTATGTTTATTACCGATAGCAAGTAAATACCGTGTCCCTGTCCCTAAAGAGTACGTCTGGTGGAATTCCGCGCTGGTATGCACCAACAACTACGAGTGGTACGATCAAAGGGACACGGATCACGTTTGCGTCTATCGCGTCTGTGACGAACGCAAGGTTTCGCGAATTCTCAGTTGCGAATTTCACGCGGGATAATCCGTTTGATCTTTAATTAAATTTAGCCAAGAAACAGACGTCTACGCGGTAGATTACCTCGAGCAAACAATCGGATCCACGGTACCGAAACGCAACAGACGCGTTCAGGGATCCGAGGGATGCACGTGATCTCGAGATCCTTCCAGGCTTTCGCGCGTGTCTTTCCACGTCTCGCTGTTCCTGCGTATTCGCCTTTCGGGTATGGCCATTTAACTGATAGCAGGCTGTAGGTGAAACGTTCTGGGCGGGTTCCGAGTCGAGTACCGTTTCGAACGTTTCGGCATTGTTTTCCGTGGAAACGGAACGAACCTCGTAGGAGTTGCCGCGATCTCCGCCATTCTTGGCGTGCCATTATCGTCGACGAGTGTTCGTCGGCAGGAGAACTCGAAATTCCGCACGAGCACGGTGTCATACGCGGAGACAAATGGCTAGATCGTAGGCAGATACGAGGTGCTCGGGTGAAAGAATGCACCGGTGCTCCACTGTCCTGAACTCTATTGCGAGTGGGCCCTTTGAATAGCGAGACGTAGTAGCAGGTACGTTTGTCGGAGAGTGCACGAGTCTATCGTCCTTTCATCCGGCCACCGTAGTTTGCCACTTTATCAGTTTACGCGAGCCACACAGTGGTACGGGTCAGCCTGTTGACTTCCCGAACGAGATTAGCATTGTGTTCTTTCACTTAGAGCGTCGCCGAGACTTTATTAGCCCGACTAGGTCCCCCTATGACGCTCGCTCTTGCGCTTTTACTTTTTTCTGCGAGCTTACCGTCTCGGTAACCTGTTCCGCGTCGTAATTTTACTTGGACCAGGGATACTCCGTAACCCGCGTTTGTCTTTGTCGAGTTTGAACAGAGGGATGGTACCGGGGTGTAAAGGAAAGAATAACTCGCGCTTTAAAGCTATCGAAGTTTGAGTTTCGTCAAAGGAAAACTGGGAGGAGATTATTTGCTATTTGCTTGAAAAATTTTCCAAACTACTTACTTCCGTTCCACGGAACTTGCGAGGCGCGTGTCGTGGTGCATCTAAAAGCTGTAACAATATCGAGTTACAAACTTCGTCTGCGATTGCCTTACTTACCCGACCTAGCTCCCACGGATTATCGTCCACTCGGAGATTCAACGTGTTCCCCGAGGAGACGCGTCGGTTCAACCGACGGGATATCGCAAAAATTCCATACTCCACGTTGCGCGAGATATCGCAATATTTTTTAAACAACATCCTCGCGTTTAATACCCATACGCTCGATTGATAGCCGCACGGCGCGTTACGCGATTGGCCAATTATCCAGCATCGTTGACACCCGTCGAATGCAAATCGTATTCCAGGCGGATGAAATTTTTGTCAAGCAGCTGTCGAAATATCCGTGGAAAATCTCAGCAGGATTTTGCCGCGCGTTGAAATCCCTGGAAGTACCAGTGTTCACTGTGCCACGCTATCGAATCAGTTTCCATCAATTATTCGGTCAACTGATCTGCGAATTACAACGTCATAGATGCGTGCCAGTCGCATTTCGTTTTAATAGCTTTTCGATGAAACACCGCGAGGCGTGGCGGCGTTTCGGTATTTCTCGCCGCTGTCAAATTTTCCATTCGTCGGAAAAATAATTAATCCAAAACGTGGCCGCGAGGGATGAAACGGCGCGGTTCGCGATTCGGTTTCGTCCGGTTTCAATCGAGACAGTTTCAAACGCGCGGAGCAGCCTCGCGGACGTGTAATTGCACGTCGTTAAAGGTAGATTAAAGGAGCATGTTGACGGCGGCAATCCTGCCCGAACATCGTGGTAAAAACCGACCAAGCCCACCGCGTTTTGGCGATGACACCGTTCCGTACCCTAGCTCCGTTGCAAAGCGCGCGGGGTTATTTTGAAAATGTTAACGAGCCAGGACGAACCGAACCGTTAGTCCATAATTACATGACTCCGGTCTTTGAATCGGAGGGACGAGTTATTAACGTCGCCGGATATTCGTCGCCTAAATTACAAAAATGAGATATATATTCGGGAATTTGGAAGGAAAAGCCAGGCCCTTCAACGATTTTCCACACCGTGTCCGCTCGAGGAGCGTATGCAGAAGAGTCGGTTATATTCGAGGGCAGTTTCGTTAAAGTACGTTTGCTGGAAAGTATGTTCGAAGATGGTTCGAGTTGCGAAAGATTCGCGTAACGTTACTTTATCACTCGGTTAGTGCTTCGTAACAAGCCAAATATAGTTTGCATTTTCCCTTTGCCAGCACACACCTGTACGTTCCTTCACTCATTTGCGATGCGCTTTATAACGTTTTAACGGGTTCTTTTCATGCTGGTATAGAGTAGAGGAAAGAATGTGGTACCCGGAAGACGGACAGGGGGAGAGAGGGGGTGTATGGCGGAAGGTCGAATCTAATTAGGCTATCCCATTTTCCGCGGTAATTCGCGAGAAATAGGCGAGCGTTTCGTTATTTCAACTCTTTCCAAGCTTTCCCTAGATTCGTTTCCACGGCGAAAGGAGAAATTCCGCGTTGTTCATTGCAGTGCGTCCACTTGATTCTCTTTAATTCATAACGCCTTCGCGCAGCGTTCGATGTCGATTAAAACATCCGCCTGAAAAAGAGAAACGAGAGAGAATGGAGGGAAAAAAGGAGATTCGCGATATAGCACGCGTTAATTCGCCGGGATATCGACTAATTTCGTTTTCGAAAGGGGAAAAAGAATCGCGAGCACGGAGTACGATACGGTGATCTCTGGAAATTATCGCGAGCAGATTTTCCGGAAGCGCATCGCGATCGACGATACATACGCTTCGTGCAAAATTTACGACCTCTCCTCGCTTTCGTTTTACGTAAAGAAAGAAACGCATAGCCGAGACGCATTCCGTCTTCCGCTTCCTGTGTCGCGTCCTGTAACGAGCCGCTCAAAGGCAGAAAATAGCGGCGTCGTTGGAACGCCTAAGAGAAGCGCGCAACAGTCTGCGCCATTCGGTATCTCGAGTGCTGTCGCAGGATACCGTGCTATCGCGAATTTTTCCATCAGGATCAATCTTTACGCGCAAAACCCCTTCGCCGTCGCTCGTTATTGGCGATTAAACGCGCGATGGTAGCTGTTTCGATTAGAGAGAACACGAGCGTCGACACGAGCGTCGTAAATATCCCGTTCCGTCGAGTTAGTGGGAAAAAATTATCCACGATGTATCTATTTTCCTCGGGATCGTAAATCCGGGAAGGAGCCGAACGACGCAAGGTTTACGAGGACGAATCGTTTAATTGATATCGGCCCGTAAATTTCCCTGGTCCTCCTTATCCAGACATCTCTCGCCGCAAAACCGAGACGAGCCATGGCTCGTCTGCCTATGCACCGACGAATTTCATTTTTTTCCACATTTTTCCGCTCACCTTCTCTTCTCTTGCTAGCCGGCCCGTGATAATCGTTCGACGGATTTCGATTCGATACGAACCAGCGACGATTCCGCGCGACCAGTCCGGATTTATCCGATAGTAATTCGCAAAACGCGTGGAAACTCGGCGAACCGGACGAGTGAGGGATTCTTCGAATTCGGGTATCGGTATTGGTCGATTCC